CCTCCACCTCCTCCACCTCCTCCACCTCCTCCTCTCTTTCTCTCTCTCACACACACACACACACCCCTGTAGAAATGTATAGTATTGTGTTTCTGTCTGATTTCAGCATAAAATGTACCATACTTTGTGTTGTATTTCCTTTTTTTTTTTTTGCATTCGCATTTGCTTTTTTCATCAGATCTTTCTTTGCCTGGACAGAGAGCTACCTCATCTCATTTCCTCCCATATCAGTATATTTTGCATGATGAGGGACTGCCTCTCACATCTTAACTAATTCTGTTTAATAGTGATTCAACACCTTCTACATGCCCAAAATGTTGTTAAAAACTGGAAAGCAAAGATAGTGTGTAAAACAGCCTGTGTCTACGAGAAGCTAACAGACAGGGAGGGGGAGAAAAGGCAGTCGAGGAAAGATGCTTTTGGCTTCTCTATTACAGCTTTTCACTTATCAACAGGATCTGTTCTTACTTGTATTGTCTGTGTTAATACAGATAAACAGTCTCCATTCTCTCCTCTCCAGCCCATAGTATGTGAGATGTTAACAGCAGGGGGGCGCTTAGATCTCTACGTTGAAACATGGGAATAACATCACCTTACCGCCCCCCATGCACTACTCTTATAAAGTAGGAGCTATTTTTCCCCCAGGATTGAAGATAAACCAGATTGGCTTAGAAAGCCCTGGCCTCCATGCTGAGGGAGAACCACTTTGGTAATAATACCTCTGGCTGCCACATATTGCAAAGACACAGCAGACCACTGGGACCACTAGGTGTGTACCACAGCTTCCCAGGCACTCCCGTCAATCCTGTGAGTTTCTTTGGGAATGGCATGGGACACCTTAGAGAATTCTTGCTACTGAATAGGAAAAGTTGACAGGCCTCTCCCTCCCTCACACATATTCTTCTTTAAGGAAATAATAAATTTTCTTTGAGAACTCAGGGATACCCTCTTTGCTTTTATTACCATGACATGTTTTGTTTGGTTTGTTCATATACGTATATTAACTTTGATCTTATTTTAAAAGTCTGTTATGGCACAGAATTTAAATTAACGTCTTGCTGAGTTGTGAATGTACATAGAGGCTTCTTTCAAAGGAGCTTTAAAGCATTTGTTGCCACAACAGGATCTGAGTATAATACTGAGTTTGCCAAAGATGATTTTCTCAATGGAAATAATTTATTATTGCTAGAGGTAAAGTGAAATTATTATTTTTTCCTGAAGCCTGTTTTTTTGTAAATGTTTTTCAGAGATGTGTGACTTGAAATTAATGATGCTCTGCTTTGTTAAGACTTTATTTAATTTCATGTTTTCTGTTGATTCTGAGAGACTATGCTCCGAGTACATTAGAGTTTACTTGTCACCTGCTGTTTTCCCCCATGCTACATGAGTACTATCATACCATGGGCTACATTTTGGGTTTGGGGTGTCTTTGGTTCATTTGTAGAAGCTTGTCTGATTAAAATTCAGTATACACTTCATTTGGTTTTTAAACAATATTCTGGTTAATCTAAGCATACTGAAAAATTTGCATTTTAGGTAATACTTTTCCTGGTTCAAAGAAGATACTGTTGTTTTACTATCAGTGTATGTGATTTTTTTTTTTAACTTCCCAGTAATAGTGGAGATCTTGGCAGGTTCTTCGAGTGATTCTCAGAAGGAAACATATGTGTATATTTAACTGGCAGAGGTTGGTGGTTCAGACTGTGGCCAGAAAGCAGGAAAAAGAGGCACCCCCTTCCCCCACCCATGGAGACCATACTCACAATAGCTTTAGGAATATGATAAGGAACTGAAGTTCACTCTGACTGAGGTTGTTAAGTTGAAATGGCAAAATCTACCAGAAAATAACTTTCTTGAGCATTCTGAAAACCCTGTTGATGAAGGCTTCAGCCCATTTAGTATGGTCACCATATTATTATTTATGCTTTATAATTGCCAGGGCTATTTTCACATAAACCTGTAGTGCCTAGGCGAGCTGCATTTACATTCTTTTCCACAAATCTCACAGATTCAAACTTCTTTCTCTAACTATTTGTTGTCAGCTCCTGTAAGCTCTGGTGATTCTTCTTGGCTCCTAGAAAAAAAGCCTTCCTCACTCCCTGTTTCCCCTCCCCATTTTTCTTCACACAGCCCTCTTTGTTTAAAGAGTGTGTTGGTTATCAGCTCAGAGTGACAGATTGTGAGGAGTAGAGAGAAGTAGGTAACGAATAACAACTGCAGGTGAGCGTCCTGGCGTCTCAAAGAACTTCAGCTGTATGAAACAGGATAGGGCCAGTCTTCCTTCTTTTGGCCACTTTCCTAATTGCTCTCCTTAAAAGATCCTTTATGTATATAGATAGATCTCTCTTGTACACACTTGATCTGTATTAAGAGTGTTGAGCTTCTTCATAACTCCTCTCGCCATCTCTGAAATGGACCCAGGGCTCCACTGAGGACCTGACAATGCAGTAGGGCAGCATGATAGATAGAAATTAGTAAACACTTGAGGCTTAATCCAAAAAAAAAAAAATGCTTAATATATCTGGGACTTTTTCAAGCTGTCTTCTGCTTTATATAGCAAAGGACACAATGAATCACTCCATAACCAGGGGTCCTAAGCGATACTAAACTCAATTAAAATTGATTTAACTTCTGGGGAGTTCTCCAGATTGTACTGCGAAATACTAATATGGTAATATCAGTTTTAGCCATAAATCTTCCCATTATATCTCCCATCTCTTGTCCTAGGTATAGATTATGGGCAGTAATACACTGTCTGTTGAACCAACAGAGTATAAATTTCCCTGCTCATCATGTCCAGTGTGTAAGGAGAGAATGGTGAGGAAGTAGGCTCGAATGGCTCTGTTGGGGAATAGCAGTGCAGCCAAGAGGTGGACTGGCCCGTACTGGGGCTGACCTTTTCTCATTTAATGTGCTCTTTCCATTCTAGAACTCATTGGGGAATCATTTGCATGTTATATTTCATCTACATTTATCTCCTCCCAACCTCTTCATCCTTCTGTTAAGTTATATGTGCGCCTGAATAAATGTTACCTACCATCTGATACTAAAAGAAGAGGTGAATTGTGACACCACTTAGCATATGAGAGATGGTAAAGATAGGAGGAGGAAAACAGGACAATATATGTGACTTTGGAAGGAGTTCTGTATAGCTTATTTAAGAAAAGTGGGGCAATTAATTTCTTTCTATTAATGTATGTATTATTTTAAATTTAGGAATTGAAGGACAGTCTGTGGAAGTGTCTAATATTGTGGACATCAGAAAAGAACATAACCGTGAGATCGCAATGAGAATTAATTCTAACATAAACAGCCAAAACAGATTTTATACGGATCTAAATGGATATCAGGTAATTTTCCTTTAAAATGTCTAAGTAATAGTTACGTTATTGTGTAGCTTTTATGTATTTTAATAGGCCAGTTAATTTTGGATCCTTCGAAAAATATGCTTAAGGTTGCAAATTATTTCTAAAATAAAACTGAATTTTAACAGTACTCTTAGGTTCTGTATTAACCAGATTTCCAAAATTAGAACAAATGTCTGATAGACTATTTTGTAGACTAAATACATTATATTTGTAAGGATTTATTTTTTTTAAAGGAAGATTCGGTGACCATTATGCATGTTAAATACCTTGGTGCCAAAATATATATGAATTTATCTAATATAAAGGAAACATAATTAGGGATTGATGGATTGTATCTTTTTTTCCTCATAAGGAATTGATCTATGCATATTTAGTTTATATATATATTTTAAATGTATAATCTAATAAGCTCTTTTTAAACTTTTTTTATTTTTCCCTTACAGTTGACATTCAATATTATGTTAGTTTCAGATGTATAGCATAGTGATTAGACATTTATACAACTTACTGAAGTGTTCACCCTGATAAGTCTAGTACCCACCTGGCACCATACATAGTTATTACAATATTATTGACTATCTTCCCTATGCTGTACTGTACATTCCTGTGACTATTTTGTAACTGACAGTTTGTACTTAATCCGGTCCCCTTTTTCACCCAGGTTCCCAACCCCCTCCCATCTGACCACCATCAATTTGTTCTCTTTGTTTCTTTTGTTTTTCAGATTCCACATACAAGTGAAATCATGTAGTATTTGTCTTTCTCTATCTGACTTAATGGGCTCTTTTAAATTTCAGGAAAACATTTCCCCTCTCTATTGGTGTGTGTGTGTGTGTGTGTGTGTGTGTGTGTGTGTGTGTGTGTGTCTGCCTTTATACACACATGTGTACATAGACATACAAATACAAACATATACCTATTTACAAATGTGGGCAGATATGTATTTAATCAAAATTTTCATGAAATAGTTTGAAATAGTAATGAGAAAATTGATTCATAAAAGTTTTCAGATTGTCAGTTCTCTAATAGAGCTCTTTTGATTGTTACCTATATCTGTATTCAGAGCATATGTGTGTGACCACACATCTTTGAAACAGTACTATTAAAAGCGTTAGCATGTTTTTGAGGCATTCGCATTTTAGAAATTTCTTCCTATGAATAGAAATAATTTCACAATAAATGCTTTTATTTTCTGATTTTCAACTGGGATGAGTGGACAGGATTGTGAGCATTTTTTTCTTCTATGATTTCCTGCAAAAGTTAAATTTAAACCTTTTCCAAAGCATAAAAATTGCGGCATGCATTTTGAATTATGTTAATTTTGCTACAGCTGTTTGGTTTTCAAATGAAGCCACTACTTTATGGTGATTCATTTTCCTTGTATACAAAAGAAAGGCTTTTCTTAAAATCTTCCAGAAGCAATTATTTGTATGTGTGGGTGTATACATGAATGAAAAAACTTGGTAAAACTGAATAAAAATGTGAATTATTTGCCAGGATTGTGCATTTGAATAAATAGGAAAATATTATTTTTAAGTCGAGAACCTAAATATTTCTGCTTTTAAAATAGGCCATTTTTAAAGGTTTTTGAAACAAATAGTGCTTGGGGAAGAAGACTAGAATTCTTGACCTGCAGGTGGGGTGTGAGGGTAATAGCCACATAGTTGGGGCAGTTTTAAATGTTTGGTTTGTTTTGGGGGTTTTGGTTTGTTGGGTTTTTGTTTGTTTGTTTGTTTGTTTGTTTGTTTTTTGGCATATGAGTTAATTGAAATTGGAAGATCAGGATTAGAAAAATTGGAGAATTCTTTCAAGGTAGCTTTTCTGTTTTTTTATTTTTATTTATTTATTTTTTTGATAAGTCTGTTCTTTTTTTATTGGTTTCAGGTGTACAGAACCATGCAGTAGTGATCCTTTACACCCCTCACAAAGTAACAACCCCCCTTCCCCTATACTTGTTTCTTCACCAGTTTAAAAAATTTCCTAGGGCTGTGATAAAAATGACCACAAACTGGATGGCTTAAAATAACAGAGATGTATTCCCTCCCAATTCTGGACACTGGACGTCCGAATACAAGGCGTCAACAGGGCCATGCTGCCTCCAGATGCTCTGGCTCTTCCTTACCTCTTGTAGCTTCTGGTGGTGTCAGGCAGTCCTTGGTACTCCTTGCCTTGTAGACCTATCGCTTCAGTCTGTGCCTCTGTCGGTGGTGGTCTCCTTGTGTCTCTGTGTGTGGTTCCCTCTGTGTCATTACTTTCCTCTTCTAAGGACACTGGTCATTGAATTAGAGCCCACTCTACTCCAGCATAACTTGATTATCTCTGCCTATTTCAAAATACAATCATATTCACAGGTCCTGGGAGACCATGAATTTGGGGAGATACTATTCAGTACAACCAGTACGTTGAAGGACATAATGTAGGATTGTTGTGAAGATCAAAGATCTTATTTGTGAAATACCCAGCACTGTACCTGGCGTTAATGGGTACTCAATACATGTTAACTATTATGTTAACTTTTATACTTCTCCTTTGCTTGAGTTTCATGTCAAACTTTCATGAGTTTAAAAGAAGAGATGCCATTTTTATGTGATGGGAATAAGATTTCCTGATAACAGTCTCTGATGTCTGTCTCCTGAGGTTTCAGTGAGTTTCCTTGACCCACACTAGCTCAGTGCATTGTCAGTCTCTCTCAGAAACTAACCTTAGAGTTCCATGTCATGCATTTATTGGGTTGTCGGGAAAGTCATGATGCATTTTTGCATTGAAAACATAGAAAAATACGTCGTGACTTTCCAGACGACCCAATAGATACCAGACCAAGAAAAATTGGAATTTGGAACTATCTCCATTGAAACTAAACAGGAAGAGTAAGCATTGAATAGTTTTTAAATATAAATATGCATTCAATTATTATAATGTAATATGTTAGAAGATTTGATGGAAGAGATCTGTGATATTTATTTTTTCATAATTAAATATATTGGGGTGACAATGGTTAGTAAAATTACATAGGTTTCAAGTATACAGTTCTGTAATACATCATCTAAATATCACATTGTGTGTTCACCACCCAGAGTCAGTTCTCCTTCCATCACCATATATTTGACCCCCTTTTCCCTCTTCTACCATTTGTCCTCACCTCTTACCCTCTGGTAACCACTAAACTGTTGTCTGTGTCTATGAGTTTTTGTTTCTTTATTTGTTTGTCTTGTTTCTTTGTTGTGTTCAGTTTTATATCCCACATATCAGTGAAGTTATATGGTTCTTGACTTTTTCTATCTGACTATTTTGCTTAGCATAATAATCTCAAGATCCATCAATGTTGTCGCAAATGGCAGTATTTTATCTTTTCCTATGGCTGAGTAGTATTCCATTGTGTATGTATACCACATCTTCTATTGCCAATCATTTATCAAGGAGCACTTTGCTTGTTTCTATGTTTTAGCCACCATAAATAAAGCTGCAATGAACATTGGAGTACATGTATCTTATTGATAAATGTTTTCAGATTTTTTGGGTATATACCCAGGAGAGGGATTGCTGGGTCATGATAAATCTATTCTTAATTTTTTGGGGAACCTCCATACTGCCTTCTATAGCGGCTGCACCAATCTGCACTCCCACCAGCAGTGTATGAGGGTTTCTTTTTCTCCACAGCCTCTCCAGCACTTGTTATTTCTTGTTTTAGTGATGATAGCCATTCTAACAGGTTTGAGGTGATATCTCATTGTGGTTTGATTTGCATTTCCCTAATAGCTAGTGAAGTTGAACATGTTTTCATATATCTGTTGGCTGTTTGTATGTCTTCTTGGGAGAACTTTCTGTTATGTCCTCTACCCATTTTTTCACTGGATTGTTTGTCTTTTTGTTGTTGAGTTGTATGAGTTCCTTAATATGTTTTGGATATTAGCCCATTATCAGGGTCGTTGTTTGCAAATATCTTCTCCCATTCAGTTGGTTGTCCCTTTGTTTTGTTGATGGTTTCTTTTGCTGTACAGAAGCTTTTTAGTTTGATATAGTCCCATTCATTTATTTTAGCTTTTACTTCCCTTGCCTTTGAAGTCAAATTCATAAAATCCTCTTTGAACTCAGGGTCCATAAGTTTAGTACCTGTGCTTTCTTCTGTTCAGTTTATTGTTTATGTTTAAGTCTTTAGATCCATTTTGAGTTAATTTCGATACATGGTGACAGATAGCAGTCCAATTTCATTCTTTTCCATGTGTCTTTCCATTTTTCTCAGCACCATTTATTGAAGAGGCTTTCTTTTCTCCATTGTATGTTTTTTACTCCTTGGTTGAAAACTATCTGTCCATATTTATGTGGGTTTATTTCTGGGTTTTCAGTTCTATTCCATTCGTCTGTGTGTCTGTTTCTCTGCCAATATCATGCTGTTTTGATTATTATTGCTCTGTAGTTCAAACTGAAGTCAGGGAGTGGGATACCTCCAGCCTTATTCTTTTTTCTTAGGAGTCCTTTGGCTCTTCAGGGTCATTTGTGATTCCATACAAATCTGATGATTTTTTTGTTCTATTTCTTTTTAAAATGCCACTGGGATTTTGATGGAGATTGCATTAAATCTGTATATTGCTTTGGGTAATATGGCCATTTTAACTATGTTGATTCTTCTAATCCGTGAACCCGGAATGTTTTTCCATTTTTTTGTGTCTTTGATTTCTTTTTAAAATCTCTTATAGTTTTCAGTGTGTAGGTCCTTCACATCCTTTGTTAATTCCTAGGTATTTTATTCTTTTTTTTTTTTGAATTTGCAAAAGGATTTTTTTTCTGAAATTTTATTGTTAATATTTAGAAATGCAATGGATTTTTGTATGTTGATTTTGTAGCCTGCTACTTTACCCTATTTGTTTATTTTTCTAATAGCTTTTTGGTAGAGTGTATAGCATCATGTCATGTGCAAAAAGTGACAGTTTAGCTTCTTCATTCCCAATTCAAATGCCTTTTATTTCTTTCTCTTGCCTGATTGCTCTGGCTAGGACTTCCAGTACTATGTTGAATAGCACTGGTGATGGGAACAACCCTATGTTGTTCCTGAATGTAGAGCAAAAGCCTTCAGTTTTTCACTGTTAATTATGATATTAGCTGAGGGTTTGTCATATATGGCCTTTATTATGTTAAGGTATTTTCCTTCTATACCCATTTTATTAAGCGTTTTTCAATAAATGGATGTTGTATCTTGTGAAATGCTTTTCTACATTTACTGATATACTCATGATTTTTATGTTTTGTTTATATGGTATATCACATTGACTGATTTGCATATGTTGAACCATCCTTGTACCCCTGGGATGAACCCCACTTGATAATGATATAGATCTTTTTAATGCATTGTTGTATATTCAATTTGCTAGAATTTTGTTTAGGATTTTTACATCTGTATTCATCAAGAGATATTGCTCTGTAATTTTCTTTTTTTGTGTGTTATCCTCACCAGGTTTTGGTATCAAGGTAATGTTGACCTCATAAAATGAACTAGGAAGTATTGCCTCCTTTTCAATTTTTTGGAAGAGTTTGAGGAGGACAGGTATTAGATCCTCTTTGAATGTTTGGTAGAATTCACTTGTCAAGCCATCTGGTCCTGGACTTTTGCTTTTGGGAAGGTTCTGATGACTGATTCAATTTCTTTACTGTTGCTTGACCTATATAGATTTTCATGTTCTTTGTGATTCAATCTATGAAGGCTGTGTCTTTCTAAGAACCTGTCCATTTCTTCTAGGTTATTGAACTTGGTGGCATGTAGTCCTTCATAGTATTCCTGGGATGATTCTTTGTATTTCTGTGGTAACCGTGGTAACTTCTCCTCTCATTGCCAGTTTTATTTGTGTCTTTTCTCTTTTATCTTAGTGAGTCCAGCCAAGGGTTTGTCAATTTTATCAATTTTTTCAAAGAACCAGCTCTTTGTTGCATTAATTTTTTTCTATTGTCCTTTTGTTCTCTATTTCATTTAGTTCTGCTTTTATTTTTATTATTTTCTTCCTTCTGGGTTTGGGTTTAATTTGTTCTTTTTCTAGTTCTTTAAGGTGTAATGTTAGGTTGTTTATCTAGGATTTTTCTTATTTGTTGAGGTAGGCCTGTAATGATATAAATTTCCCTCTTATTACTGCTTTCACTACATCCCAATAATTTTGACAGGGTGTATTTTCATTTTCATTTGTTTCTATGCATCTTTTGATCTCTCTGCTTATTTCTTCTTTGACCCAGTTGTTCTTTAAAAGTATGTTGTTTAATCTCTACATATTTGTGGTTTCTCCTGCTTTCTTTTTGCAGTTGATATCCAATTTCAAAGCCTTGTGATCAGAGAATGTGTTTGGTATGATTTCAATCTTCTTAGATTTTCTGAGGCTGGTTTTATGTCCCAACATATGGTCTATCCTTGAGAATAGTCCATGTACACTAGATAAAGAATGGATAGTCTGTTATTCTAGGATGAAGTGCTCTAAAAATTTCAATTATGTCCACTTGGTCTAATGTGTCATTTAGAGCTGATATGTCCTTACCTATTTTCTGTTGGATGATCTATCCATAGCTGCCTATGATGTATTTAGGTCCCCCACTATAATTGTGTTTTGGTCAGTTTCTCCATTTAGTTCTGTTAGTAGTTGCTTTGTATATTTTGGTACTTCCTGATTGGGGGCATATATATTGACAAGAGTTATGTTTTCTTGTTGTATATTCCCCTTTATCATTATGAAATGTCCATCTTTGTCTGTTACCTTTTTTATCCTGAAGCCTGTTTCACCTGATATAAGTATGGCTATACCCACTTTTCTCTGGATATCAATAATCACCCTAAATATAAATGGACTGAAATCACCAATAAAAAGGCACAGAATAGCAGTTGGATCTGAAAACAAAACTGAACCATATGCTGCCTTCAAGAGACACATCTCAGCTACGAGGACAAATATAGACTCAAAGTAAAAGGGTGGAACCCAATACTCCATGCACATAATATATGAGAATTTCCTATATCCATTTTATCTTTTGTTTTCTGGTATCTCACTATCACCATTGTTCTTTTGCTTTTTTGTTGCTGTCTGTTATTTTAGTGTGGTGGTGTTCTATGATTTTTTCCCACTGTTTCTTCTTTTTTTATGGTATATATTGCAGTTCTGGATTTGTTTTTGAGTGGTTACCATTAAGTTTATGTAAAAGAAAGTTTCATATATACAGTAGCCCTTTTTCTTCAGCATGCTGCTTATCTCCATCCCCTCTGATATTTATTAAAACTGATTTTTAGAAGAAGAATTATAACAGATATTTCTTGAAACGGGATAAAGAGCTATTATGCTTAGCATTCATTACAAAAGCAGTATGTTAGATTTAGATGAAAAATGAATACTTAATACCTTTATAATTTGTTTTATGCAAATATTGGAGAGCTAGAAGACTTTTGTTGAGGATATTTATTCTGAATTTAAATAGGAATGCCTGTTTTAAAAATCTAGACAAGTTCTAACTTTCTCAAAAATTGTTTCCTAAGATCCTTGTGATATTTCTTCATTGTTTTGAGGAATGTTTTAATTTTTAAATTCTAACCTTGAAAAGAAAGGAAGATGCAGGTTTTTCTCTTTGGAAGAAAAGCCATCTGTAGTCAATACTAATTTTTTAAAGTACATTATGTAAATATCACTTGATTTTTTTTTTAAGAGAATTGTTTGGTCTTATAGATTCAACCTAGAATGACAATGAGCAAATTGCCTCTTCAAGCAAATGTCTACCCTATGACCACAATGGCATATATCCAGGATGCTGAGCACCGCTTGACACTGCTCTCTGCTCAGTCTTTAGGTGTATCGAGTTTGAAAAGTGGTATGTATTATTTAGATTCTTTTTTGATCTAAGTTTCAATTCCAAGTGTATGATTTTTCTTTTGGTCATATATATTATCATCTTCGGTCACCAGCTTTCTTTCGAGAACCAGACTACTAGTTAATTTTGCATTTTCTGAGACTAACATAATGAATTTTCTCAATCTTCAAGTGAAGAACAGGGACTAAATTTCCTTGAAGCCGATTGTTTTCAAGATAATTTACCTCTCCTAATAGCCCATTATTTGCAAAAGTCTGTGTTGTCATGATTGAATAGATATGGAAACTCAGACTCTAGAAGTTTAAATAACTTACCTAAATTTGCAAAGTTGGGAGGTTACCGTTCAAACTTAGGTTCTTCTCTGAATCACATCTTTGTACGGCACTACCACCTGAAAGAAGAGAGTAGAGAGGATACAGATATGTGAATAAAGAGGTGATCACCACGACTTTAAGGATTCCAAAAGAGAGATCAAGATAGAGAAAGAAAATAGAGAGTGGACACTGATTCGGTTTTATAAAATATTTAGAGGCTTTTGTCCTTTATACATAATACGCAGTTTTAATTATCATTTACATGACATCAATGGCTTTCCTTCCTTTTATAGTAAGAGTTGTTAAAACAAGTGTCTCAAGGAGCCACCCAGATAGTAAATGAGTGCAGATGCCTTGCATATCCTTTGACACAAACCCGCTTTTTATATTAGGCATATGCATACATTCTGTACTTCCACACACACAAAAAAATACTACTACTCATTTATCCTTAAGCCTTCTTTAAACAAAGTCATGAGATCATGCCATAAAGACATGGATTCAGTTATAAAAATAATAACGGCCTCATGTTGGGATTTGGTCGGAGGTGGTGGGATTGAGCAAACTGGAGAACATGCTGCCATGTACAGTGGGGCAGCCACTGCTTAGTGCCAGTTCATTGTCTCCGTGGGGAAAGGGGCTCCATGTTGTTGCCAAATGTTTCTGTTTTTAAAGATCCCAGAAGTCTAGGAGTTTATGTGAAGTTGTCCAATCTGTAAATGTTGATATAATTTTTAAAATATCAGAACATGCAACATCTTAGTGGCAGTTGTGACTCTTGACCCACCCATTTTTAAGCCCTGCCTTAAATCCTCAAAGTTGAGCTCTAAACAGAGGTCCGGACATTAGGACTCAAGCAGCATGAATCAAGCAGTATTATATTTCACTTCCCTGATAAAGATGAGCTGAGAAGATCCTCGGCCCCTAATGGAGATGCCCAAAGACTTTAGAGTTTGAATAGCTATAGACATGTGAACAATTTGTGTGCAGTCCAGGAAATTACTAGGGTCACTTGTACAGACTCACATTGGGAGGCAGAGAGAAGGGTTAGGTATTGTCAGATGTACTCATTTGGGTGTGAAGTGATCAAACTCTAGATAAACATGGGGGATGATTGGTCCCATTGTCTGAGGAGTAAGTTCTAGACAGTTGTCTTTTAAAATCTGGAATAGTAGCAATGAAAATTCTAACTATTGCTGGTTATTTTATGTACCGGATACCTAAACTAAGAAGAAAAACTAAACAGTTGGTTTGACTATATAATAGTAATAGTTATTAAAAGCTTCTATGTATTACTCTTTTCTGCCAAATGATCATTTCATACAGCAACAAATATGAATGAATGGATGAATGAATATACATATATTTTTTAAGTATATATATATATAAAACTTAACTTTTGGGTTTTTTTGGGGTGGTTTTTTTTTTAGTATAATCATATATGTATATGACTCTGGATTTTGTTTTTGTTTTTTTTTTTTACTTTTCTTAGTATGTAGTTTCATAGCCTAACCATTAGCTTACAGTTTAAACTAGAGGAGATATGGATTTATTGCATAGCAAGTGAAGGAACCACATATGGTCCCTTTTTGAGCTACAGGAGACAGGAGAGTGGTGATGCCACTAACCGAGTATCAGGAAGGGAACAAGGGGTACATGATAGGTGTTGCCAAATCTTAGGGCTTCTTCAGAGACTCACCACATGTCAAGTAACCTAAACTGTATTTCAGATCCTATTTAGATCCTGCCCTCTGTATTTTTGTCTTAGTACTCCTTGTGTGGTATGTGTTTTGTAATGAACTTCATAAACATCTTTATATTCCAAATGCCACTAAAATTTTTGGAGGACTTAATTTACTATTTAGATTAATTCTTCTTAATTTTAGATTATTTTTTTTAAAGTTTCATTTTTAACTTTGATCAGTCCTGTCCTGTTTTAAAATTTCTTATCAGGTTTTAGTAGACATTCCTGAAGAAAGGCAGAAATACAATCATGTTTTATGAATTAATACTTGCTACTTTGAGCCACTATTGAGAAAAAGTCCAAGGTACTGTGGGTTGTATACAGAGGGTGCCAAAAAAACGCATACACATTTTAAGAAAGGAAAATACTGCATTAAAAATGTAATACTCAATAAATACCCATAGCAAAAGATGAATACAAGTCATGTCTACACATTTTTTTGGCACCCCTGGTAGTTCTGTCTCCTTGGCTAGAAGAGAAACTTATATTGAGACCGTGCCTGTGTTTACGTCATTCTCAGTGAATGCTTGTATTAAGTAACTCTGGCCAGTTTTTTCATTTGTTTCATAGGTCAGATTGAAGTTATCATGGATCGAAGACTCATGCAAGATGATAATCGTGGCCTTGAGCAAGGTGTTCATGATAACAAGATTACAGCTAATTTATTTCGAATACTACTAGAGAAAAGAACTGTTGTGAATATGGTATGAAAAAAAAATAATTCGCATGTTCTAATGTTGATTATTCTTTGCCACCCACAATTATGTAGATATAAAATAATGTTAAGAAATCAGTTTGGATGAAATTATTTTGAAAGAGTTGAGTTAAAGAATAGGCTTAGTCACGTACCTAGGAGATTAAGTTTGATTAGTGAAATGTGTTTGAAACCTTAGTGTACTTCTAGTCTTAGACTTATAAATTGAAAATGGATTTACCTGTCTGTCTGCTTGTTCAATTTGTATTCTTCAAAGCAAAAATCCAGGGATTCCATGTTAAACAGTGTCTCCAAAGCTCCACTGGATATAACCAACCTGACAATAGGCTTCTTCAGGTGGCAGAAAAATACCCTCAGAGTCCTACGTAAATTACTGATTACCGTCTCAGATGGCCCTTGCTTGATATGGCCCTTTTTCTCTTACTCCGCTCTCCCTCTTCCTGCACTGACCATTTCAGATCTTTTCTATTCTTTTTAACCAGCCACCTCACCATCTACTTTATAGAGAGAACAACTGTTCGACAGGGTTCTCTGTTCTGGATACCAATCACTAACTCCCACCCTTTCCTTCTTTCCTCATGTTACAATAGAGACGTTTATCTTCCTTTCGTCTAAGGCCAGCCCCTCCACTCGCTCTTGGGTTTGACCCTAATCATTCTTCTCAGGATCCTGTTACTAGTTATTCTCCCTCCTTACGGCTCCACGCTCCTCATGCCCCTCATCTCCCTAGGAAGTCCTTTCTGTTGGCCTGTAAGCAGTCTTTGTTTTCTCCCGTTAAAAATTGAAACAGAACACAGCCCTCGCTCACACTCTCATCTCCATTCCCCATATACACTGTCCTATCTCCTCTGCCCTGTTGAGTCAGAGGTCATGAGATGAGTGTATTTCATCGCTTCCCTTTCACACTCAATTCATTTGGATCTGGCGTTGGCCTCTGTCATACATCCTTCCCAACGTCACTAGATCCAGCAGATGGTTTTGATCGTCCTCTTCACCTTTCATCAGCCTTTGACACTGACCATTGTCACTTCTTAAAACACTTTCTAGCCAGGGCTTCCATGGTGCCTCGCTCATTTGGTTTTCTTCCTTCCTCTTGGGCAGTTCTCTCTCTATGTCTCTGATACGTCTTTATTCAGCCATTAAATATCAGAGCCCTTAAGGCTTGGCCCCAGGCCTTCCCCTTTTCTCTTTCTATATGTTCTGGCTCTGCAGTCTCCCCTACGCCCCTGGCTTTGGTGACCACCTCTATGTACATGGAACCCACAAATACACACCCCATTTATCTAGTTGCTTCCTGATTTTTCTTTTTACGTGTCTAAGAGCACCTCAAACTTGACATATCAAAAATCGCTCTCATGATCTCCCTACCCCCCAAACCTGGCCCTTTTCCATTGTTCCCTCTCTTGGTGACTCGCCCCACCTTCCATCCAGTGCCAGCCACCTAGGAGTCCTCTCTCATAGACACTCTTCCCTCATTGGCCCTTTTCTCACAACAGTAATCACCAGTGCTTTGCCTATCTCTTTGCCTAAATATTTCAAATTTATATAGACTTGTTTACTTCAACCACCCTAATCTACAGTAACACCATGTGTTTCCTGGATCTAGCCTATACACATCCACTCTACTGCTGTCTTCCTGCCATATTTGTTCTTAACCCAGGAAGCAGTGTTTTTGTTTTTTCAAAACCCAGTCTAACCTCATTGTCCAACCCTTGCTTAACCTTTCTGATGTCTTCTCGTAGCTCTCAGTATAAAAGCCAAAATCTACAGCCTACAGTGCTCCTCATGATATGGACCCTGCCTGTCCTCCATCCTCATTTAACATGACCCTCACTATTCCTGCTCTGGGCCCACTGATTTCCTTTCAGTCCTAAGTATTTCCCATGCACTGTACCCACACAGCACCTTTGTACAGGCTTTTTCATCCCCTTTGCCCGGGGGACTCTTAGAAATAGCTCAGATCAGAGCTCACGCCATCAACTGCTTCTGCTAGACCAGGTCAGATCCCCTTCTATGCTCGCTCATAACTGTGCATCTGTCCTTCATGCTTGTTTGTGAATATTGGATCATTGTCTTTCTTTTCCTTTGGATCATAAACTCCCTGACAGTAGGGACTATGTCTCTCTGCTTCTAGGCTGTTTCTAGCAGAGGAAGGAAGCACCCAGTATGTGTTACATGAATGAATACCAAATGCCCAAATGAATGAGCTGTGATAGCACACTGTATTTGTCACTGTTAGTGCTTATTGCCTTACATCGTATGCATGTTCTATTCCCTGTACTGGATTCCAGGGACTTGTCTGCTTTATTTCCATGTACCCCACAGGGTCTCCTTGCATATAAGTCAAATACTAGTTGATGGAATGAAATGGCAATAGTTAATTAAAGCAAAGAATTTTTCCAATATATAGAATCTTTCAGGAAAAATATTTTAATATCCATTTTACATGTCAAGATTCATACCAGTTCTTGGGACTCATATTTTAAATCAATTACTGACAAGATAGTGTAGATTAAGGACTAAAGTTACATAGGAAAATCTTTTGGAGTGCTGGCAGCTACTGTTTTTTTTTTCTCATCCTGAAAATGTTTCTTGCTTTTATGATTTTTCTCTCTATATAGACACTAATTTGCAAAACTTCTGTTAACTATGGTAATAAGGATTTTCATGTCAGATCTATAAAGCTTTCACTTAGAAGTTAAATAATCTGTTTATTCCCATTTTAAACTCTTCAGAGACTAATTGATTTAAATTTGATCCAATGTTATTATAATCCTATGTTGGTTAAATTTTTCTTTTGCTCAGCTATAGATTCTTGGGCTTAAATCAATAGTTTCTTCTAAATAAAAGAAATGAACTAGAGAAGAGAAAATACATTCTAATTTCTAATGAAATTGATTAGAAAGATTTTTGATGAAGAAGTATATCATATAACTTACATTTTCCACAAAGTGTTTTTATTTTTAACTGAGACTCTAATGTCTAAAATATTGATGGTAGAAACTGAAGTAGGGAGACAGTCCCTGGAGAGGAAGGCATTTTAGTGGGAAGCCTCAAGCTTGCCAGAGCCTCATGGGAGTAATCCTGGATGACTAAATAGAAGTGAGTCCTGTTCTCGGAGGCTTCTGCAGAGAGGCAGTGAGTATAAGGACTGACGTGATAATTGCTGTGAGATGTACAGATGCCCAGGAGAGGACTATGCTACATGAGGTTGACCATCACCCATGGTAATGGTACTCAAAGGTCAACGGAAGTGGAAAATAGGAATTGTCTCTTTGGCATTGACCCTTTATGACTCATTTCTTAGACTCTTACTCCCTACCATCTTTCTGCTGGCAACTAGCATGGTAAAGGAGGCACTGAGTTAGAAATTAGAAGGACTGGTATAGCAAAGGGAGTATTAAACTGGACTTGGAAGCGCTGGAAGTGTTAAATTGTTACAGTTGTATCATTTTACCTCTGGAAACCAGTTCTTTCCATATAAGCAAAGGAAGTCAGGAGAAATCAGATGAAAAACTCAAATGTTTACGGGGCTTCAGAGAGTGATGGCATGAGGGAGATTGGTCAGGTTTAGGGACAAATGCTTCAGTTAAGTAACCAAGACCTGTTGTGAACATGACACACATCCCACCTAGAAGCCACAGCTCAGCTCCAGCTGATTGTTTCCAGACGGGAATGTGGGGGCCCAGTGTAACTTGAATTTCCATTGTTTTGGGTAAAAAAACAGTTATCAATTTGGAGGAGTTTTTTAAATTGTTGTTAATGATTTTAATGTGAAATCTCCTGGATTTTTTTTTCTTCTATTTTTGAGAATTGTCTGGGAAAAGAAAAAAAAATGATACCATGCAGACCTACCAGAACATTTCTGTAGGTAAATTAGGCCCATAGAACATGAGCCTTCAGCTTGTGCTGTATGATGTTTATTTCTAAATCTTTAGATTCAATATATTTTCATTCTTTCTTTTGCCTCTTTGTCTTTTTACTCCATCCTTCCCCCCTCCAATATTTTTCTCTCATCTATTTATATTGCATTTGCTTGACACATTATCAAATTCCCACCATGTGTCAGATCATACTGAATAAGCAAAGGTGACTAAAAAAAACGATATCTTGTTATCTTACATAATTTAGCAAATTTTAATGTAGAGGAAACGGAATCTTTGATGTTTAGGGATAAGATAACTCAGGTGGGCATAAAGAAAGGCACCAAGGAGCCTGGCAAGGAGTTTGACTTATGAAACAAGGGCTGGAACCCAATGGAGAAGATCTCAATTTGGCGTGGTTTGGATCAGAATATGCTGGAAACTATGTTTAATTTCATGCATGCTGCAAGGAGAAAGCTTAGACTTGTACAGTCTGAACCAACAAGAAACCAAATAATGTTTATAGTTGTATATTAGTTACTACAAGGTTGGGGATTTCATTTATTGCTCAAACAAACATGTAAAATTTCCAATAGCAAACATGTTTTATACACTTTGGGATTATCATATGATCCCTGTTAAAAGATTACCTTTCTAGGAGATGAATTAAAACAGTGATAACTGAACAGTTCAATATTTTGTTGAGCCCTTTGTTGCTGTAAATATGTTAAGAAAGTGTGTGAATGATGGAACCTTCCATGAGACTTTGCCCCACCCAGCCTGGCCAGCTTCCAGCAACGTTGTTTGTTCAAGGTGCCCTTATGGCACTGAACCTCCTGTCTTCTATAAACTCCTCCCCCTGCCTATAAACTTCTCTTCCTTATCTTGCTTAGAACAGTAAATGGCACAGTTCTTGAATTCTCAGAGCACTTATATTCATGACATTGTTTCCTTTGACAAGACTTTTTTTTTTTTTTTAGCTGAGCCATCCTGCCAACAGCTCAGAGGCAGCTCAGCTTGGGCCGGGAATCGAACCAGCGACCCTGTTGCTCAGAGCTCACACTCTTGAGCGAGCTCTTAACCAACTGAGTCACTCGCCGGCCCTGACAAGACTTTTCATTAACATGTTTTTGAGCCACTTGCCGGCCCTGACAAGACTTTTCATTAACATGTTTTTGAGTCTGGATCTTGGTTTTAATCCAAAATTATTGGGTTCTCGGGAAAGTCATGACGTATTTTTTTCTGTTTTTCGTTGCAAAAATGCATCATGACTTTTCTGACAACCCAATAGTTAAAAAAGGGTGAGGTTTATACTTTTGATTCCAAAGGGCGCTCTGTTTCTTCTAGAATGCTGGAAGGATGTCTGGGCTGGCAGTTCCCAGCACAACTCCATGAAATTCACCTGAGGGTGGGACTGACTCCATGAAATTCACCTGAGGGTGGGGGGCATTTAAGTTTCACCTTCCCAGAGCCCCACCCCTGCCTAGCGATCTATGTATTTTCAAAGCTCCCCAAGCCATTCTGATATGTGATCAATTTGGGGGAAGCACTGAGGATTAGGCGAACTGATTTGGGTTTGGAAGAAAGGTAAATATGGCACATTACTGCTTCTAAAATATAAATTATCCATCAAGAAGTACCCCACCTTCTCACTGAAGTGTCTGGAGATTCCTCCAAGAGCGTAGAACAAAGCCAGAGAGCTTTTCCTGAATGTTTCTTGACCTAGAATGGACTTAACGCCTCCCAAATTTGATAAGACAGGTGTTTTCCTTTCTGTTAGAACCTTTCATCTTTATTACTCAAAGGTGATTTTGTCAGCAATCCTGACCTAGATTATGAACTTTTTTGATCTTGGAGTACATATAAAGTGTCTTGTTGAAAATGTTCCCTCTCTATTCATGTTATTCTACAAGCTGCATTAAATTTCAGTATTTTTGGAGAATATTATTTCATCTACTTTATTTAATCTTTCCTTTTAAAAAGAATGTGGAATGGATATATTTTTTGTACAACTCTTTGAGATCTCATATTGTTTTTGTCAGTATCTTAATATTGCAGTGTCCCTCTGCTGTCTGTAAAAATTTTTTTTTCTCTCTCTCTCCATGGTCTAAATTGTAATGACATCTACAGTTTGCTCCTGGCAAGATGCTTGTCACTCTTCGCTAACACCCTCTGTTCAGTGCTAATCTGACACTCTTGAATTTTAAGCTCTGTATCTTCTCTAAGTCCTATCTTTTCACACAGATAAGTAGCCAAGTCTTTCATTTGAGCCTTGGATTACAAAAAGGATGCAACATCCGAAGATGTCAGTGAAATAGTCATTTTAAAATATAAGATACAAAATTAAATTTGCTTTAAATGTCACTGGTGTTCAAAAGACCTTTCTACATATTATTTTCTCTTCTTAGTGCTTTGCTGTGTCTGCTTTTACACCATAGGCATTATTGGTTAAGGTTCTACTTAGTCATTAATCTAATTAATTGTGTATGTCATCCACCATATGTATGTCGCCAGCCCTGGTAGATTTATTTAATATTGAAACACTTGTCTATAAGTATACACACCATTGCAAGGACAAAAGTATTTTTAGATTTTACTGAATAATTGTATATCATGTAAATATCTGATAATTATTGTATAACGTATATTAACAGTTCCTGTTTAGGGAATAAAGTACAGTGAAGCAACTGACAATGATTTACAAAATTTGTAGAAAACAGATGATCTAGTTATGCCACCTGTGTATTTAAAAACCTTATTTGTTTTGAGAGTTTTTTTTTTTTAATCCTATCTTTGGTAACATTCATAAAACATAACTTTGGATCAACACATGACTTTATGGTCTAATTAAGTGTATAAATGAAACCATGAGAATATGATGGGTAAATCCTGAGGGAAAAAAGAGAACATCTGATAATGTGCAAGATACAGGAACATCCCAACCCATCTACTTAAAGAGTTTTGTGTTAGGTTGAAAAATCTCTGTAAAAAGTTTTATCTTGTCCGAAAACGTTTGTGGAAAATGTCAAATTTTTTAGTATTAAAGCAATGGGAAAAGAGATATTTCTAAACATATAAGTTAAGTGGACACTCTTCATTTTCTTGTATTGTTTAGAACTGAATTTGGTAATCTGCTATGCATTTTCTAAGAATCCTATTTATAAAATATAGTAAAATCAAATATATTTTTATATTTCTTTTCTATTTAATTCCCATCAGGTAATTCAGTTACTATTATGAGAACTGCAGATACATAACTCTGAATCATGTTTTGTTGGTTTTTTTTGACAGGAAAAAGAAAAGAAGTCGGTCAGTTATCCTTCTCTCCTTAGCCACATAACTTCTTCCTTCCTGAATCACCCTGTCTTTTCAATGACAGAAAAGATCCCCGCCCCAACCCTTCAGCTGCTGGGTGAATTCTCTCCATTACTGTCATCTTTGCCTTGTGACATTCATCTGGTTAACCTGAGGACAATACAGTCAAAGGTATACTCCAAAATATATCTATAAAAATTACTTTTTATAATATACCTGGTATAAGGGGGTGGGAAGAAGAAAAAATACTGTAAGTTTTAACTATGCTTTGATGAAGAGGACTTCACTTTTAGGCAGAGTCATTATACCTTTCATTTGACTATTGCTCTATATCTTAGAGCATACCCCAATAGTAATTTTATTATTATTATTATTTTCTGAAAAGTTCTGTATGGTGAGCAGGTCAGGGAATATCATCTTTCTTCTTCTTGTGGATAAGGAAGCTAAAGCTGGCCTGAGGTCACATAATTCGTAGGTGGGAGAACCAGGCCTCAAGGTCTGCTCTACTGGCATTTTCCATTCATTTCAGCTTATTAATCAGCATTTCTCAGGCATTAGAGAAATAGAAAGCAAAGTGTTTAATTATTTCTGTATGAGAGGCTTCGTACATTCGTAACTTTCTCCTGAAAACCGCTGCAACCCAAACCTTTGCACAGAGAAACAAACTATTTGGAGAAATGTCAAAATAAAGAGCAAGGGTAGGTTTTATTAGGTATAGAATTTTAATTCCATTAGACTGCTTTAGTTCACATATGTGCCTACTTATAAGTCAGAGATTGCATTTGAAAAGAATAAAGATTAGACAGTTGACGTCATTTTTATGTTTTGTAGAGCTGTTTTGATGTTGTGAATTGACATACACTTAGCTGGAAATAGTAAATGGTTATGGATTCTGTGGGAAATATAATAAGTGGCCTGAATACGAAAAGAAAAGAATGTTCATGTTTGAAAACAACGTAAGAGGAGGAAAAAAAATGTTTAGTTTAAGAACAAACAAACAAAGAAAAAAATGCTTATAAATTGGGACATTTAGGGCTTTTAGAACTATGTGTTCAAGATTAGGAACTTATGCCCGACTATGTAGGGAAATATATGCATATGGTTTGTAATAATGAATACAAGTGAATGTTAGAGGCCTGTGTGCGTATCTCTGTGTGTCAAAGGCTTGTTTGATCATGTGAGTGAACTTGAAGGATTTATTTCATGCCTGCTATGTGCCAGTCACTGCTAAAGACACTAGGGATGCAGTCATGACCAAAACAGACTAAAGCCCCTGTCATTCTGGAGCTTAGATTCTAATGGGAGGAGTAAAAGTAATAAAAGAAGAAAAATAAGAGAAACATGTTAGTTGGAAATAAGTGTAATGAAGAAAAAAAAAAAGAGAAGGGCAATTCTAGAAGGTGATGCCAGTTTGAATAGGGTGATTGGAGAGGGCCCCACAACAAAAGGTGATAATGAGAAAAAAATCTGAAGGCAGTCAGGGAATAAGAGACTCACACAGATTTCTGGGGGTTGAGTGGTCCAGACAGAGTAGAGTGAAGAGCAAGTGTAAAAGGCCAAAGGCAGGAGATGTGGTCAGATGGAAGCCTGATGCAAGCTAGGCTTTTCTTTGATTCCTTATTGTATCTCCCTGTCTAGAACAGTACGTGCGCATAGTAGGGACTCACTAATGATTTCTTGAATGAGCGAAGTCTTGTGTGTTCTTGCTAGGATTCCGCTACAGTCTTTGTGGCTCTACTTTTTGACTCAGTGAGAACACACTAGAGAGGGACAGCCTCCCCGAGGTAACTTGTCATAAATTCATGAGCTCAGGAGAGAGAAAAAATAGAGCAGAGGACACCAAAGACTCTGGGCCTCAGGTTGCCACCTCCAGGCAACCTAATGGTAGAGGACATTAGCAACCTGAAGGATCCAGGGACTTCTGGGGTGCCCAGTGGCCACTCTTCCTGAGCCTCCCTTGTAGATGACCCCTTCCCAAAATCGTTTGAAAGTGATTGTTTTCTGGAAGCAATTCCAGCTGACTGGAGTCAGTGGATTACCCTGTACAATCCGAGGCTGGCCCTTGTTTTCCAGGTCACCTCTTTGTAGTGATTACCTGCTCCTTTCATTCTCCCTGCTGTTGGCTACCTTCCTGCCATACAAATCTAATCACTTCCCAGATGAAAAATCCCATTGCCTACCAAAGTGGTTCAGCCCTTGAGCGTTCAGGCCCTCTGCAGTCTGCCCTCACTCACGGTGGCCACCTGGCTTCACATTGCTCTTCTCACGTTTGGGCAGGTGTGCCACCTTCTCTACCTGCTGCCTGAGTGACTGCTGGCTCAGCTACCATTTATAAAATGGGGCTGCCATCAGACATGCCTGCTTCAGACCTCTGAGAAACATGAAATTATGCTGTGAAAGCCCTTGGAAAACAGAAGTGCTTTGTAAACATACATTGTTATCCTGATGACGTTTACAGGATATGCCAGCTCAGGTGCAAATGAGGGTTTTAGCAGAAGGCATAGAAAGCAATTGAACAATGTAGACATTTGAACATAAGAATAAGAACTGAAATATTAATGCCTAGTGATAACGACCATGCTGGCATATGATCAGAACTAAATATTTGGGGCTGTCTTGCATTATATCAATTGTTAAAAGTTCCTATGCTAGACTTTGACTCTTAGCACGTATTTCTAATGGTTGTTTAAAAGCTCACTATTAATTCGAAGGGATTGATTGGTCCATTCAAAAAAATCACTTCTTTAAAGAATTACTCTGTCCTCTAACCTCTGATAACAGGAAGGTAATCATTGAGGGAAGCTGATACAGGTATTGATTTGAAGAAAGCGGGGTACTTAAAAGGTGTCAAGTGTACTTCCATGGTTATTCTAAAAGAAAGACAAAAATGACTCAGTGCATATATCCAGAAGTCAGACCTATACATTTTGGATTGTATCCCTGTTATGTGCCGGCAGCTCCCAACATAACAGTAATGAGTTGTTCATTGGAGATTGCAATGCATTTTTCCCCATTTAAATAATGTCAACCTAGAGGTTGGGCTCCAAGCAAGACCATAGGTCTACATAGCCCATGTCTAAGTAAGCATTTTTCTAACCACCGCCTCACAGTGTTTCCATGAAGAATCTGTCTGAGGACTACCTTGTGTTGATAGGGACTCTTCTCTCTTCCTGCCCGGCCTCCTCCATCAGCAACATGAAGAGGACACTCCTGCCTCCTCATCTTCCAGGCCGTTGTCTGAAGGTTCTTCAGTTCTCCGCCTCAGTTAGTCTCCCATTCTCCTCGTGGAGAAAAGAGTGATGGGCTCAAGCAACAGTGAGAGAGGTGGGGGGCTGGAGATGGGCCAACCCACTGCGGTGGGGCAGCAGCTCCAGCCACTGGGCTTCAGAGTCACTGTGTCCAGATCATACTGGGGAGACTTCAGAAAAGAGACATTTACAGATTTCCCCATCTCTGAGATTCTGATTGTGTGGGTCTGGGGTGGAAAGCCTAGGAATTAGTAATTTTTAAAAACTCTCTTTCTAATTCTAGAAATTGTTGAGTTATTTCCTTCTGCTAAATTGGAAAAGTAAGGGCTAGAGAAATTAAGTGATGAAAATAAAACTGCCCAGCAGTAAATGCAAAATCAGGAGGCACATCCAGGTCGGCTGAATCTGAGTGATGTGCACGGCCTCGGGGTAGGTAGTATTTGACTTTTTAAGGGTTGCTAAGTCTCTTCCTCAAAGTCAAGTTTTTCGGAAATTATTCTATATGGGTAGATAACTTTATGTTTTTATATAAGCGTATCTTGCTTTTCTACCTCATCTACATTTTTGGAAAAAAATAATTATACGTCCTATGCATTTGTAGTCAGATGAAGAGGGGAACAAACATCCCTTGAAACCCCGCCTCACAGCATGCTGGCCACCCCAACATGTTCCAGCCACTGTCTAGAAACTGAACTGTGAGTCTTCTCATCCTGGAGGCCTGGCCTCCAACTCCCTTCTCTTTAGAACTCCCTTTTCTTGCACTGTCAAGAGCTTGAGATATTAAAAAGAGGCTTCTGTAAAAGTTTGAAAACTGGGGAACCAGCACACAACTCATGTACACTAAATGGGAAAGCCATGTCATCGGAAAACGGTCATGATAGAAGGAGAAAGCAGTGTTGGTAGAGAGGAAGCTGAGAGAATCTCATGAGAGGAAGGATCATGGGTCAGGGTTCTGCAGGCTAGAATTATAGGTCCAGCCTGGAATGCTGACATTCCAGGGACAAGGAAGAGCTTGATTAAGCCATTCAGCTAGGCTTTGCAGAGCCAGTCTGCCTTGATGTTTTGAACATGATATGTAATTCAATTATTGTTTTTTCAGATTATTTCTACTTCTTCTATGTTCAGATATATTTTTATGTATTTATGTATGTATATCTTCATATCTACCTGTATATCTATGTTTAGCTCTTTATTCTCTATGGAATTTATTTTGGCTTGTGCTTAACTGTTTCTTGCAGATATTTAACCAATCGTGTCAACATCAGCATCACTTACTGAATAAGATTTTCTGTCCTGACTTGTTTACACCACCCCCTTCATTTCTTATAAGAGGTGGTTTACAGTTTTTACTTTATTTTACCTTTCTTATAAGAATTGATTGGTGCTTTATTGATCTCCCTAGCTTCTGGAAAGGTGAAAATTGTGGGGGAAAGAAATCCCTGTGTTGTACATATCTAAGAACCACCGTTCAGCTTTCCCTGTCTGTCATGTTATCTTGTTGATCAAAACAGGATAAGTGTTATTGGACATTTTAATGAGTGCCCTGGAAAATGAATTTCTACTTGGTTATTTCCTGTTTCAGGACTTACAATAGAGTTTGCAATTTTCTAACCTTTCCAACTGTCAGAATGCACTGAAATATGAGTGTTGCTAGGCATTTTCAAAGACTGAGCGGGTTGGAAAAATTTTCCCACCAGGTGTTTAGCCGTGCCTTAATCTATACACACCTGACACATCCTATGAGGATGGTGGGGTCACATCCTTCTGGAGAATTTGGTCTAATTTATAGCTTCTCCCTCCCTTCTCAGAAAAAAGAGTGTGCACATACAGTGTTTACTGTCATTTCCAGGAGTTTATTGATTTGTGATCCTCACATTACTAATAAGCAAAATCAATTTATTTTGATGTGAGACAGGAATAGCACAACTCTCACATTTTGGGTTCTCATGCATTTTGGTAGAGGAGCCCCTTGCCTATTTCTTAAGGGAGACTGTCATATGCATGTGTAATTTTCAGAGTGGCCTTAAATCCTGTTTAAAATGGAGTGAATGGATGGATGGGCAAGTTGTAGATGGATAGAAATTACAATTTCTAAAAGTTACTTTCCGAATTGAAACATGTTTTGATAAATGATGGTTTTAGCTCTGCTGGGTCCACTAATTAAATGCTGCTCCCTTTGTGCAGACTCACATCAGAGGATGATCTCCTTTAACCTATAGCCTTTTGTTGTGTTACGTCAGAAGCAGTCCTCCCCTTTCCTCCCAGCTGACATCTGTGAGCGCTAGTTTGTCACTAGAGCACAGGCAGGAAAATGGAGCTGTTTGGAGCACAGACTTTGGAGTCAAACTGCCAGGATTGGAGTGAATCCCTTCTGCTTGCCATCTGGGTGACACAGAGCATGTCACTTAATTCTCTGAGTCCCAGTTTTCTCATTCATATTTTGGCAGTGGTAATAGTACCCACCTTAGAGAGGTTCTGAGGATTAAGTGAGTTGATGCTTGTAAAGCACTGAGAACAGCATCTGGCACAAAGTGCTTGAAAAATAAAGGTTCTCAACTGGAACAGTTCAGTCATGCCTAGTTGTGATTATTGCTAATAATGAAGTAAAAATGTTGGCACATTTTTTAATAAATTGGAGAAGGTTGAAGTTTATTGCCAGAGCACCTCTTGGTATCATTTGACTTGTATTCCTTATATACTTTATTAATAATGCCTCAGATTTTTTTGAAGCAACATACCTAAAATTGTCTCTGTGCCATTATGTGCTTTCCGTGAAGCTGTGTAGCTCTCACAACAACCCTGTGAGGGTAAACGATACTTGTACTCCGTCTTATAGAAAAGGAAACTGACCTAGCGATGGCAGGTAACTTTTTGAGGTCACACAGCCAGTAAATGGTGATGCAGGGAGGCACACCTCGACATGTCTGACTCCAGTTCCCTACCCAAAACCTTATATTGTACTACGTCTTTGCATGGGAACAAAAGGGGAGTGATAGTGTGGGAAATGTGGGGGAATACATTGCCTGTTTTTCTCTTGTGTACTCAATAATAATGGGACCCCCAGAGAAGATACACTAACTATCCATGGGCAAAGATCATGAAGGGCTAATATAGAGTCATTGGGGATAACTGCTATTTGAGTATGAGAGAATGCTTTGTGGTAGGGGTATGCCTGTACATTTGCAAGTTTGTATACCACCTCAGCGACCTCAGAGGTTATAAGATGAAATGAGTTCACCCATGGAAAGCATTGCACAGGGTCTGGCACATGGCAAGTGCTCAGTAAGTATCAGCTGCAGTTACTATCACTGTGGTTGAGCCTCAATCCTCGAAGGGGCTCTTCATGAGTCTAACCTAGTTCCCTGAATTTTCAAAGGTAAAGTGATATTCACAGAGCCCCATAGCTGGTTCCTCGTGGAACCAAACCTTGCCTCCGACCCACTTCCTCTATGCCTGAGGGCTTTGTTGTGCATGCAGACCACCTTCCCCCACCCTCTACCCAGTCGCCAGAGAAGCTTCACAGGCCCCGCTTCATTGAGGAGCTGGCATGTTGGTTTATCCCCTGAAATAAGTTCTGTAATGGATTTTCCCTGTGCGACTCCAGGACATCCAAACCTCCCTGCATGGATTCAGCTGCAACTGTGGCCTGAACTCTTTTACAGCAACACTTCATTGGAAGCTCACCTAACACAGTGCTTGGTGCAGTTTCAAAATGTGTGAATTTTCTTCCCCACACTCTCCCCTTTTCTGAGCTCCAGATATTACTTATTCATTAATGAATGTAAAAACAGGTCTTTCAAAATCTGTAGAGCATACAGTGTGACTCCATGGTATTTTCAGCAGGTGAACCCAACACAGTGACTCCATGAAGAAGGTGGGCCTATATTAGCTCCGTTTTTTAGGTGAGGAAACCGATGCTTAGGAAGATTAAAAGACGATTCCAAGGTTTCACAATTGGCACGTGACAGATTCTCTTTGGTATTCTTCTGGAGATCTTATGTATATAATAAAGGAAGGATTTTCAGGATTTCTTGGGTGCTATTTTGAGATTGTGTGCAACCTATGGAAATTTCATTAGAAATCTTAATCCTGTGATTTAAACTTGTCGTGTATATCATGTGGCCCTGCGATAACTCAGAATTCCTTAAATTACTTTTTTCTCTTCCTTCAAATAAAATCTTAGCAATACCACTGCAAAATACCAGTGTGAAATGTCATAAAACAGGTTATTCCAGCCAAGAATCTGAGGTGGAGAGCTTTAAATTGTTCAGGCACATTAAAATCCAATCAGTGGTGGGAATGCTGGCAGCTAGTCAGAAAAGATGTCTCTATAGCACATTAAAAATCTTACCCCTAGTGAGGATGTTCAAGAATTGGGGCATATTCATATCTGTGGCCACGGAAGAAAAAAAGGGATCATTTTTATCAGTGTCAGTGCCAGGCCATACACAGCTATTCTTGAATAAGTCTACATGTCATTCTTCCAAGGAGCTTTAATTCATTTTGCTTATTATCATAAACATCTTCCCACTTTAGGAAACATAAAATTTATTAAGATAATTGTTATTTAAAATATTAAAAGCTCTGAACCATTTGTGGCATCATTACTTAAATGGATATAAGAAATGTGACTGCAATAGTGTATACAGGTATATACCTCAGAGATATTGTGGGTTTGGTTCCAGACCACTGCAATAAAGTGAGCACTTCAGTAAAGCAAGTCACACAAATTGTTTGGTTTCCCAGATGATTTAAACATTAACTTTGCATGCTGCTGTAGTCTATTAAGTGTGCAATAGTATTATGTCTAAAAAAACAATGAACATACCTTATTAAAAAATACTTTTATCATTAACAATTTCTAACCATCAGCAAGTCGTAATCTTTTTTGCTGGTGAAGGGTCTTGCCCTAGTAACATCAGCGATCACTGATCACAGAGCACCTTAACAAATATAATAATAATGAAAAAGTTTGAAATCAATTGCGAGAACTATTAAAATGTGACACAGACCCTAAGGGAGCAAATGGTGTCGGAAAAATGTCACCGATAGACTTGCTCAATGCAGGGTGGTCACAAACCTTCAATTCGTAAAAAACAATATCTGTGAAGCACAATGAAACAAGGTAGGCCTGTACTGAGCCCTCTAGCTGACTTGTCATATTTGGTGTTTTTCTTTTTGCCTGCAAAAGAAGAGCTTCTGTAATATGAATTTAAACGATACTCCATGCTAATAAATGGGGTTGGCCTAGCAAGTGATAAGCATAATTAATTCAGATGTCTCTCTTATAAAAACAATGAACCAATACATTAAAGATTAAAAACATTAATGCAATTAGCAAAAATTAATATTCAACAAAGAAGCATGTTTCAGTTTTAAGATGGATCGTAACGTCATTCAGTGGCCAGATAAGGACTAAATTTGGGTACATTTTATTCAACTGATACATATGTTAAAAATAAATAAAAACGAAATGCTTTAGTTGAAGAAACTTTGATAAAGCAGTATGTAGTATGTGGACAAAAGGAAACTGAAGTCCTCAAGCACTGTGGGGAGACCAAGGCATGAGGTGACTTCGGAACCTAGAACACACTAGCTGACTCCTTGGGGGAGGGGTATGGGCTGTAGCAAGTGGACGGGCACAGTGAACATGGAGCTGAGAGGAAACGCATGTGCCTGGCTTCACTGCTAAATCAAATGAGCACGTGTGGTTTGGGGATACTGACTCAAGACAGTAGAGTGAGAAGTAGTGGCAGTATTTGTCTTAATGTTCCTGTGGCATGTTGGCACTCTGCTCATTTGCAGGTGGACGGCAAGCATTCTGACGAGGCGGCCTTGATCCTCCACAGGAAGGGGTTTGATTGCCGCTTCTCCAGCAGAGACACGGGACTACGTTGTTCCACCTCCCGGGGAAAGGTGAAAAGTTTTTGATTTTTGTTTTTGTTTTGTTTTTTTTTGTTGTTTATAGAATCAGTGTGCTTTGAAATCCGTACTTTCTGCGAATAATCCTGACAACGCAATCATGTGCCATTGCCTCTTCCGTGATTTGTTCCTCAGCTGCAAATTAGCTCGTCTCCCCATTTTAGGAAAGCACTTTCTTAACCTTCTGTCTCCTCTCCTTGTCAGCATCCAAATGCACAGCCGGAGCATGTGCGCCCTGGAAGCCAATGCTCTCATTGATCTTTAGGCCTCCCATTTCCAACCTCCAAAGCATCTTCTTCCACCCCCCGCCCATATTTCCTCATTCCTTGGACATATTCATGTCTGATCTAGT